CAACAAAAAGCACCTACAGCACCGACTGACCGATCTTCTCCTTAGGACTTTATACAGCAACAATCAGAACGTCTATATACATATCTATCAATGGCAGTTGCATTTCTCTGTAAAGTCATTTCTACTCCATATGTGCATGTTTTATTGCCTCCTACCGGCTTATTATCCTGATGTAATTGAAATAGTAAATATGAATGAAATTTGCAACATTATTCGTGCTCTACGTCCATACTTTGACGTCTTTAATCTGGGCTCATCTGATTGGCCCTCCAACGTCACTTCGATGGTCATTTACTTGAGTTGCTATTATTATTATTCCCTTGGGTTCCTAGTGGAACACAGGGCTTCAACAGCACGTCCCCATGTCACGCTGTTCTCTGCAGACATTTTCAGCTGGTTCTATGATAACCCATAGGCTTTCACCTCCTGATCACACGACTTCCTCCATATCACCCTCACATCCATGAACAACTCATCGTTCTCCATTCGGGTCTCACTCGAGCGATTGTCTAACGCACGATATCACCCAACGGTCTCCTCAATGTGTCGAATCCATCTCTATTTTGTTTCACATATTCGTTGATTTATGGGTTCGTGGTTGGTGTGTCCCCAAAGTCTCTTGTTGCTGATTCTTTTGGGCCAGCCATTTGTTCTGCATTAACGAGCCAGTGAAGGCAGCTGGTGATAAAAGTCTGCAGTGATCTGTCCGAAATGCTTTTCGTGATGCGAACATCAAGTTTCTGACCTATATAGAAGAACTCACTGATGAAATAACATTGGTGTTAAAAATCTAAATTTGTATTTTTGATTACAGCTTGATTCTACACCGTATTTTTTGGTACAGGTATGGAATTTTCAGCATGTGATATCAGTAGCCCAAATTTTGCAGGCCGACCATTGATATATCAGGTGTGCGTCGCCAGGAGATAGAACTCTGGTCGGCGAGAGTCCTAACCGCTGCGCTACCGACGCACAGAAAACTTCCACACTGTCTTTCATAGTGATGAAGGTCGGTCTTGCCTTTCCGACTCAGTCCAACGTATTCTTGTCTTCTCACTCCGCACCTGCTGTCTCCCTCATAATCCAGTCCACCACAATTAGAAATATCATCTTATTATTGTATTATTATTGTTCCCTTGGGTTCCTGATGGAACATAGGGTTTCAACTGCACGTCTCCACTTGCTTCTGTTTTCTTCTGTACTTTTCACCTGCATCCATGTTAGTCCATACTGTTTCAACTCCTCTTCACACGATCTCCTCCATGTCACCCTTGGACGTCCCACTCGCCGCTCCCCTTTCGGGTTCCACTTGAGCTATGGCCTGACGCGCGATGTCACCCAACGGCCTCCTCAGCGAGTGTCCAATCCATCTCCACTTTCTCCTGCATATTTGTTGGGCGATTGGTTCTTGTTTCGTTTGTTTGTTCCCATAGTTTCTTGTTGGTGATTCTTTCCGGCCATCTGATCTTCAGTATGGAGCCAGCGAAGACAGTTGTTGATAAAGGTCTGCAACAGGTTGTTGGAAATATTCTTTGTGACCCACCAAGTTTCTGATCCATATGTATAGAAGAACTGACTGACTTGACGTTTGTATTGAAAATCCGAATCATTTTGTTGTTGATGCAGGCTGAGTGACGAAGATTTCCAGATTGGTTTCAGGTTGATGAATGTGTTTCTCGCCTTCCCGATTCTCGATTTGACATCCTCGTCCGTTCCTCCTGTAGTTAAGACAGTGCTCCCTATATAAGTGAAATAAGGAACCTCTTTCAAATCCCTCCCGTTGATGGTGATTGGCGGTGGATGTTGCTGCTTCTGTTGTTGTTGTTGTTGTTGGTTGGTTATTTTCATAACCTCCGTCTTGTCTATGTTCACCTGGAGTCCTGTCTTTGCTGCTTCTTCGACCAGTCTGTGGGTTTTCGCTTGTAAGTCTTCGATTTTGTGTGATATCAAACATAAATCATCCGCGAAATGTAGGACTTCTAGGTTCTTCAGGATATCCCTTTCTTCTTATTTCCCACTGTCTGACGCATAATCCAGTCCACCACAATTAGAAATCAATATCATTGGTGACAATAAGCACCCTTGTCATCGTGGGTGACAGTAATCAGCTCTGTCTTACTCCTGTTTTCACTTCAAAGGCTTCAATGAGTTTCCCACTGTGATCGAATATTAAGCAGTAATAAACTGCTACTACTGGTAGTATTAATATTGTTATTACTACTAATATTGCTCATTCATTCATCTATACACGGACTTTCTCATTTTAGTCGGATCTATCTAATCGGACTATGGATGGAAACGACATCACTTCCAATCTCTCTTGAAAATCCTTCGAAATCATCATCATCATCACCGCTGTCGACATCAATGCATACAATCCCCTATCCAGAGAGTTATCATTTCTACACTCCTGTACAGTGTTTAGACAAAACAGTCTGTTGGATTAAGTCGGAGCATTCATTGAGTTGTTTACGCATGATACGTTATTTGAAAAAGCATCTTGTACATACATTGGTAGAGAAATTTCAATGCCAACAGTATATGCCAACATTATCAAATCCCATGGTGCTTTTTTCTCAAGATCATTTGGAAACATTTTTATATCAAATTCAGTACTTTGAAGATCTTATCCAATGGATTGAACAAGTAAGTTTTGGAGGAAACAAAGAATCAATTGGTTCTCCTTTTATCTTCCCTGTTAGTATGAAGGTTGAATGTAAATAAGAGTGGAGTATACTAAATCGAATGTCAAGTCAAATACTCGCCAACGACATAGACTGGCGATGCCGCTACATACCACAAGTTGGTGAGAATTATAATTCATGGACTGGCCATTGGAAAGCTAAGTGACTGTAGGGGATTTAAGGTCGAGTTCAGGAACGATACGAAATATTAGAATAAAAATCCGAGTTAATGAAAGAATATTGATGAAAACAAAACACGTAATTCCACGAAGAGTCTCTTTTCGGTGGCAAATTCATTTGCTCTTTAGCTGTACAATCGCAAATACAGATGGGTTATTTTGTATGTATGTGAACATTAAGTTTGTCAAACAAAAATAAAATTGGTTATGGTTATTTTAACTAAGCAGGTGAAAATTAGTAAGTTTTGGGTGGAGTTACGTAATACAAAAATGGTCAGAAAAATTGGATGTTAATGAAACTAGTGTATTACCAAAGGTGATGAGTTGTCACAGTCACTTATTAAAAAAGAGTTACGCAATAATATGAATAATTTGATGACTGAGTTGTACTCAGGATACACAAAGGAACAAAGTAGAGAATACAAAATTACGTAAGAGTTTTAAATGAATACAAGAAGTGGTTGAGTAATTCTCTTTTGTATGCACAGCTCAGGTTTTTCTATGTGGATGGCCAGAGATTCAGTGATACAAGGAAGACGAAACCATATTGCCTTTGGTAGGTTATTCCTGACTCTGTAGATTACTTTGAAGCAGGAGGCGTTTGTTCAAACGGAACCATCAGTGTTAACCAGGTGTAGCATTACTATAGTGGGGCCTCCTTCAAAGTAATGATAACACCAACAATAATTCCATACAAAGAAGGAACCTCGGAAACCTTATGCAGAATTCTTAACAAGGTAGGAATAAAAGTGGCATTCAAACCCACAAACTCAATTAGAAAGAAGCTGTGTCGGTTAAAGGGTCAATCCTGTAGAGCCTTTAAAACAAAACAATTTAGTTTATCTGATATCCTGTCTGCAATGATTGTCAGGTCAAATACATTGGTTAAAGTAGTAGAACAGGGGCAGTCAGACTAGCCGACCATAAAAACCTAGCAAAATCTAGATTGGTTGATCCAAATAAGATAAGAAACCTAGAGAATAGTTCAGCTATAGCACTCACTACATGCAATTACACACAACCATACAATAGGATGGATAGGATGAGATGACAGTGCTTCAACCTAATGTTACAGGGTGGAGGAAGAGATTGAAAAATAAGCTTCATTCATCGAATCAACTGCGAATCTATACGTGTAATAGGAATGATTCAACACGTGTCCACGCGGATATCTGGAAAATTCTACTACCCCTACGACGACAAATAGGAGAGGACAAAGAAAACTATAAAATTCAAGTTTCGAAGTTGTGTGATTATAATTGATATAATGATGAACAAAAAATTTTGTTCGAAACGTCATCCAGTAAACAACACTATTTAACTCACTATGTGATATATCCAATAAACAAACTAATATGGAATTACAATTGGTTATGGTTATTTTAACTAAACAGGTGAGAATTAGTAACTTTTGGGTGGAGTTACGTAATACAAAAGGCGTTCAGAGGAATTGGATGTTGATATAAGAGGGTAGTAGCAAAAGTGATGAGTTGTCACAGGCAGTTGTTAAAAAGAAGTTATGTAATAATATGAATAGTTTGATGAGTGAGTTGTACTCAGGATACACATAAAATCAAAGTAGAGAGTATGAAATTACATAACAGCTGTTTGTGACAACTTATCACCTTTGTTACCACCCTAGTTTCATTAATAGGAAATCTTCTTGACCGTTTTTGCAATACGTAACTCCACCCAAAACTTACTAATTCTACCCCCCCCCCCGAACCTTTAGTTAAAATAACGATGACCAATTGTATTTTTGCTTGACAAACTTAATATACACATGCATACAAAATAACCATATATATTTGCGATTGTACAGCTAGGAAAACGAATTCAACTCCGAAAAGAGACTCTTCGTTGTTTTCATCAATATTCTGGTGTGCAGACGTGACCACTGCGGTCCATACAGTCAGCAGTGAGGATGGCGTTCCCGCCGATAACATTGGTTTGTGGTCACGCTAAAAATCACGAATTCGTAAAAGTTAAAGTTCAGTGGCCATTGAATCGGGTCCGAAGTGGTTAAGTATTGTGCGAGTTTGCCTTGTAACCGGGAGGTCCTGGGTTCGAGCCCCAATGGGTGCATACTGCCGAATAGTTCCAAACTAGACTTACGAAACAACTGTCCAGTAGGTCTTAGCGTTTTCTAACTGATATCAATCCGTGGTTTAACTGAAACAAATAAAATCCCTACAAACTGACTTTTGAAAACTTACTTTTGCTATAATTTGATCCATAAACTCACCGTCATTGCTTAATGTTTTTTGTATATAAATCTATGTAAATTAGAGTAAAGCCAGCAGAAAATCTAATTGAGAACAACAATATTGTTCGCTTATATGTCTTTTTATAAGAAAAGGACTAACTAAGTTTCTTAGATTGTCCAAAAGACGGGATTTTCCCGTCCACAAAGTGACAGCTTGTCTGAGGATTACAAAACACCCACGAATTGTATATATGAATTAATACTATGAGGACTGAGTATCAGACATTGAAAATTAGAGTGTTGAATTGCAAGCATTTGATTAATTTGAGGTTTTGTCACAAATTGACTTCATTTAGAGGACCACTTAGAGAAAATTGTGGATTACTGGACAACTTGTTCTCCCCAGTTTGAGGCGCAAATGGGAACTTCAGGTCACGAAGGAAGGCCATTGACCATTCAACTCCTGAGAGAGAGTTCAATGGCGTATTTGTGCTAACTTTAGCTAATTAGCGATATATGACGCCACCTCCACCAACCAATGTTCTCACGACTCCACCTACTCGGTAGACCCCACTGGTTACGATTTCTCAAGAGAACTTTAGGTAACTTCACCCTGTAGTTGATGGTTTAAAAGTTCTGAAATCGGTTCGCGATCAAAAGTCGAATATTAATCATTGTGTTTTTACAGAAGTCAATCTAGTTGAATACCACTCAGTACTACAAGAGTGTCTTCTATTCAAACAACACGTCTTTTTCTCTGCTCAACAGTATCCATGAATCAGTATTTATATTTTTTATCTTTGCTTCATTAAATGTGGGACTTTTCGACTGGATTAACTCAAGACCCTACAGGGGATAGAAGACAGGACCTTCAGGTTGCTAAGGAAAACCGTTGACCATTCAACTCCCTGAACGGAATTCAATGGCCCATGTATCTTCGCCCCAATGATGTTGTAGACCCTGACGACCATGACGTCCATGAACGTTTCGTTGGTCTTCTAGACAGTGTTTACTCCACGTTGCTTAGGGAAGAGAAAATGAAGACTTCATGAATAAACCAAGCAGCTGAAAGAACATTATAACAGCAAAAGTATCCACCTGAGCCCACCTGATTTCCCCACATCATATCAAAATATATTATTCCAAGTGTTGTTTCGCTTTACATTGTGAAATGGTTGAAGATAACATTGATGGGTCATTCGATTCCTTCCCAGTGACTGAATGGTAAACGAGCTTGCCATGTAACCTGAAGGTTCTGGTTTCCAACTATGGTGATTAGGGTAAGCTCATGGGCTTGCCCTTATGAAGAGTCCGAAGTCAGGACGAAACAGCTGTTCATTACTTCTTGATTTCCAATGGTTATCTAACTGAAGTCAGTTCGCGATCGATCTTGAATACACTGTTTCATATGAGATGTCGTGTAGACAAGCCTCCAAGACTTACAGTAGGATGTATGAAGACGTTTCGGATGCGAAACTCAAAAAGTTCAGTATCCAGATTTCGTGAATCCGTTTGTCTTTATAAATCAGTAATTTGAAGTCATTCTTTTCACTGATACGAAATCCTATTCTCTTCTTTCCCAGGTCTGTGTTCGTGTCGATCAGTTTCTAAACGATGTACAAAACTCTAATGAAAATCCGACCACCAATCATCACCATCAACATTTCCTCAATCCATCAATATTTCTAAATCTTCCTTTCAATGACCCCGTCAACTGTGAATCTTGGTTTACCGATATATGGAATAAGGAGATAGTTGAATTAGTTCAGAAGATGCTTACACCCTTGAAAAAAAGCAGTCATAACTCTTCAAACTATGCGAGTCTTTCAGATCCAACCGATTGGGTTCTATCCACATGGCCATGGCATAAAATTGATGCTTCAAAACTTTCAAGTGAAGCAGATCGTCTAGGCAGACAGTCTACATCACTGATACGATTTACAGAATTCTATCAAACTTGAGATTAAACAGCCTTTTTTAAACAGAATTATTAACTATTCATTGCTAGACTACTAACAAGTAGTAGTGTGAAAACTGTCGAGATTAATGTTGACACCACCACAGATGTCGAACTCCACTCAGACGGACACGTACGCACACACACAGAGCTTCGCGTGATCTGTTCTAGTGAGCTTTCTATTCTTCTCCGAATGTTTACGACAATCAAGTTAAATAATTTATATTTGTCTGTAAATATGTGTATATTAGAATTAATTTTTACAAAAATTATGACCAGAAAAAACTCCCACTTCCCACATTTTATTCAACGAGAATTACACAATAAAAGAACGTATAAATTTTTCTGTCTATATTAGAGAAATCATATTTGTATTGATATTAACTGGCCTGAACAACTGGAGAACAGTCGGAGAGAGAAAACCGGAAAGAGATTGGAAATCTCTAGGTGGTTTGATTGCTTGATTGTTTACCCCGCCGTTTTTTCCCATGCATCATATGTGTCAATATGCAGAAATAAGAAAAATTTGTATGAATGTTTTACTTCTTCTTTTCTGATTTGATAATTAAAGCTTATTCTCAGATAAATCGGAAGATTTTGATTGGATACTAATGAGTAACTAGTGTGATGTGTCTTGTCCTTGGCGTTGGTGCAGTCAAGTTTGTAATGTAGTCACCATCGTAGGTAGCTTGCCATCACAGTGAACATTGATTTGAAGATATTAGATGGTTGGAGTAGCTCAGTGGTAACGTCTCTGACTCTCTGCAGCACTGGGTGACCAGGGTTCGAATCTCAGAAGGAGGGACATAAGTTCCTTCAAGACGGTTGCAGATATACCTTGCTGACTTGTGAGTGCCAGCTAGCACGAAACCTAAGTCAGTCGAGGCTTCCTGCGGCCGATTGCCTCCAACTATCTAATATCATCAAACTGGAAGATTTATGAGGTATATGATAGGATCTAGTCGGATATTAGCCTCTTCCAACCATTGTTTCTGCTTTGTGTGGGGGTTGAATCAGCGTATGGTGGAACTTAGAGCTGGTAGAGATTTTATCTTCGAATAGTCTATAACCTTGCACAACTTAACTGGTGCCGTGCTGTTTAATGACGAAGTCGAATAGTGTCCTTCACAAATCCCTAAAGTAATAATAGTAGCTTTATTCCAAACAGTATTTGTGGTACAGGTATGGAATTTTCAGCGTGCATTACAATATTACATCTAATTACCTCATAAATTTTTGTAAGATTTTAAAATAAAAAGCAACAACAACAAAAAGAAAAAAGAGAAATAAAAAAGAACAGCATTGCATTCACATATTTAAACAATGCAGCACAGGATATGATATATAAAATTAGTCTGTAATAGAATATATGAGCAACAATATAATAGTAACAAAGAAAGGAGAACAAAAGCTAATGGGAACTATTTGTTAGAGTGCCGCAGTAAGTTGATCGTGTCATGCCTAACAGTTTTTTCATCACATAACAGCTGTGCCAGATAAGGTATTGTGGAGTTTTTGTACTTGGTGGTCCTGGCATATAGCCTCCTATAGTTGCTTCTAGTTCTACCAGATGAAATGCAAGGAGAGAGCCGCGTATAGAGAGGATGCTCGGGGTCTGACAATATAGTATTCACCACTGACTAATTTCCGAGAGAAAGTTATTTAATTTGGAACAGTCTGACTGAGAGTTGACTGGCATGGAGACAGAGAGGTCATCAGCATACTTGACAAAAGTGGTTACATTAGAATGGGACAAGTCATGTAAGAAAAAAGAAAACAGAAAAGGAGAAAGAACAGCACCTTGAGGAACACCAGCTAAAGTAAGTGAGGTAGTGGAGGACTTTCCATTGTAGACAGTGTACTACTTCCTATCAGAAAAATAGGAATGAAACCACTAATTCGTCCAGCTCTCACTCTGTATTGCAGCAAATTACTTAGCAAGAGAGACCTAGGAACAGAGTCAAATGCAAATGTGTAATCAAGGAAGGCACACCGAACATATTTGGCTCCTCTATCTAAACTAGAGACTATATTATGATATAGAACTACAGCGGCATCTAAGGTACACCTACTGTGTTTACAAGCAAACTGGTTGGGGTCATTGAAAGGCTTTAAAGAGGGTTCAAGAATAAGTAAAATAAGTCTTTCCATAACTTTTAAAAAAGGTGAGGTAATAGCAATCGGTCGAAACTTAACAGTAAGTCCACTTGTTGATTTAGGCACTGGAACAACCTTGATATTTTTCCATGAGTCAGGAATACAACTTTTGGAAAAAGATTCATTGAAAATGTCGGTTAATGGGTAACATAAGATATCAGCACACTTCTTAAGGATAACAGCAGGAACTCCATCAGGACCAAGGGACTGGGTAGGTTTGAGAGATTGAAGACACTTAAGGACATCATTCGTGTTAAAACATGAAAAGCAGTCATTATTTATACTATTAGATTTGGGAATCATAACATCTGCAGGGATACATATGAAGGATTTATTAAGCATATCAACATCAACGGAAGTATCATTCATTATTTGCTTACCACCTGTGATTTCCTTTAATAGCTTCCACATATTAGATGAGGATTTACATGAAAGAAACTTCTGGTTATAGAGAACATTTAGTCTTTGTAATTCGGCTTTAATCAAAGTGTTTATTCTCTTAACACCAGATTTATTTTTCATTTTGTATAACCTCTCTTTTTCACGGCGAAGCTTTTTGAGTTGAGAAGAGGAGAAGCGGTCGAATTTTAAGAAGATTGTCTCTTTTGGAAAACAAACATCAAGACAGAAATTAAGACTAGTTACTAATTGTGTTATCAAGAGCTTGTTCAGTAAACAGGTCCCAGTTTGTGTCTTTTAACATTGTCCTTAGATTCTGTATGTTGTCATGTGAATAACATCTGTGTTGTGTTTTCTTTCCAAGGTAGGATAAGACCCTTTTGTGCTGCTTTCCATATACTTTGGGCAAGTAATAATCCATCTTCGGTTTCTTCAGATCAGTTAGACTAAAATTTAATTATGATAGGAACAAAAATACTTCCAGAGAAAAGTCTGAATGATTGGTTACAGGGTTTCATCATGAGCTGACATTGGTTAGAGAACCATTGGAAAACCTGCAGGGAGTACTGGACAGCTGTATCGTCAGACTAGTTTGGGACTCTTCACTGCACGCACCCATCATCGGAGTTCAAACCCAGGACCTACTGGTTCCGGGGTGAGCTCGTAGACAATTAAGGTACAAATACTCGCCGAAGACATCGACTAGCGGTCGCGCTATATCATGAATTCGTAGAATTTAGGATTCATGGGATGGCCATTGTATCGGGCCCCAGTGGCTTAGTGGTATACGAGCTTGCCTTGCAACTGAAGGGTCCTGGGTTTGAATCCCCAATGGGTGTGTGCTGGCGAAGAGTCCCAAACTAGAATGAAACAGCTGCCCAGTACTCCCTGCAGGTTTTCCAATGGTTCTCTAACCGATGTCAGCTCATGATGAAATCCTGTAACCAATCAATCAAATCCCTACAAACCAATACTTGAAAAGTCTGATTGATTTAGAGAACTCAGACAGTCCTATTAATTCTATTCATCAAATACGCGGAGTAAAATGAAGACTTTATGGCTAATTGTGCTGCGATCCGTGTGTTTGTGGCATATAGTTCACATTCGTCAAATGTAAGACGATAGTATATTAACTCGTCTTCACCGACTTTGTCTGTCTGTCTGTCTGGATTCAACATAGAACTTGGTACCGAAGTGCAGCAGTTCCAGTTGCCACGTTCCAAATAGCACACAAAGGTACACAAGAAGATGAGTATAAGAGTATATAAGTATAAGAGTGAAACAGAATGAGTAATGGTAGAAAGGAATATGAAAGATTACAGAGACTGAACAATACATCTGCGCCATTGACAACGATTTTGAGCCATGTCACCTATTGTCTCCAGTCACTGATTCTTAGAGTCCCGAGGGCCCCAACCCGGAACCTACACCGACTTTGTAGGTTAATTTATGGTTGAGCGTGTTGAACATTCAACTTAATTTAGTGATTTTACTGGCTTTGCTTTGTGATAAACTCCATATCACATACCTGGAAAGGTCATTTGTTATTTTTAAACTTGTGACATATTTAGTGCAGTCACGTTGAAATCATCAAGAAGCGTTTGAAAGCTTTTAGAATGGATGTATTCGGTGAAGTGAAAGGGAGTGCTTTACGCAACTAGATTTAACAAATTTATCTCAGCCTAGACGCCATACATGGCACTGTAAGTAAAACCAGTCAGTATCAGTGAAATTCCCGCTGACATATACCATAGATCCAGTTAGTCTTGGTATGCACCTGCATAGCGCTAACAGTTGAAAAGACGCAAGCTTTTGATCACTTTCCAGAAATTCAAGACGAGTGTGTGTAGTATACTGTACTATTGACTATGTATACCCTGCCATGAGTACTCATTGTTTGAAGGGGGTTCTAGAAGTGCGGTGGTTCATTGAAGGCCATCCATGAAACCTTAAGCATATTGAGGTCGCTACCTATCATTCTACAGGTGTTCTATGATAAAACATGGGGAAATATTCCATCTGAATGCTCATCCGTAGCTAGTTCGGTGTTCAGTGGTCTGTCTGAACAACCTACTGTGATTGAACCATAGTTGAAAATTTTAATACTTCCAAAGGCGACATCACCTAAGATGCTACAGCCACAATTATCAACCTCTAGGGCCTCTATAGTACAGTATTCTATGATCACTCCGACGTAGTAAGTAACTGAGGAATTCAGAAGGATAGAAAGAAACTGTTATTATTATTATTATTATTGTTTCCTTTAGTTTCTAGAGGAACACAGGGCCTCAGCCGTGCGTCTCCATTGCGTTCGGTTCTCCGCCAACGTTTTCATCTGGCTCCACGTATGCCCACATGCTTTCATCTCGTCTTCACATGACCTCCTCCTCCATGTCACACACACACTGACGACCAACTAGCCCCTTCCCGTTCGTGTTCCACTCGAGGGCCTGTCTTGTGATGTCACTTGATTGTTTTCCTCAGAGTATGGCCAATCAACCTCCATTTCTTCCTGCTTATTTGTTGCACATTTGGTTCCTGGTTGATTCACTCCCAGAGATCTCTGTTGCTGATCTTTTCTGGCCATCTGATCTTGAGTGATATTGAGCGAAGACAGCTAGCTGTTGATGAAGATGTGTGCCCTTCGTGACATGGCGCCAAGTCTCTGATCCATATAGTAAGTAGCACTGATTTCACATTGGAAGATGAAGATGCGTATCTTATTTTTCATGCTGAGTGCTGTTGATCTTCACACAGAGTTGATAGCAACGGAAGCTTGCTTTGCTTTCCCGATCCTCGTGCTTTGATATCCTCATCACTTCCGTTAGCCTGTAGCTGAAACGATGCTTCCAAGGTAGGTAAAAGAGGTTGTTTCTTTCAGGTTCCTCCCATTTATGCTGGTTGTTGTCTGTTGTTGTTGCTGCTGTTGCTGTTGGCCAAGAATCTTCATCACGTAGCTCTTT